ATTAATTGTTGAAGTTTGTGCATTTTTATCCGGTTTTAAAGTGGTCGGACACTTTTGACCGGGGAGTGTACATGTATTTGGTCTCTAAAAATGATCGGCAAAATATCGGGACTGTGCCATTAAAATTGACGAATGTACTGTGCGCTGTATTCTCATCATCAATTAACGAAATATCGTAAAAATTACTCTTTTTCGTAAAATTCAGCCAATTTTTTTGAATATAAAGTCAATCATAATATATGTAAATCGGGAATTTTAGTTTTTAGTTTGATATTGCGTCTACATATTGGCCGTAATAAGTAACGCCCGATTTTCCTATAAGAAAACTGGCGTTACTTTCGACGTGCCGCTAGAAAATTCGTAACTATTTCACATTCATATATTTTTTCACTACTTCGTGATTGTGCATAATATTCTTTCTTTATTTTATTTATTATTACATTAATTTTTATTTCATGGTATAGATCTTTATGGTAAAATTCTTATTGATTTTCAACTTTGTAAAATAAATAATAAAATTATTATTAACTCAGCGCTTCGGCTTTTATTTCTTTCGTGTCTAACGAAACTGGAAGCATTTATTTCTTCTTTTGCCTCAAAACTTGATTTTATATCGTGATTGAGATATTTATTATTGTTTATATTTAGTAATCTAACTTTGTTATTTTTTTAAACGCTTTTTAATTGAATAGAAAACTTTGTTACTTTAAATCTGTGTGGAACTTAGTGAAACCCACTTCACGTAATTATTCAGTCTAGCTCACAACCTTGTTGCATTTAAATTATATATAATACAGTACTGTAATGATAATAACTTTCAATTTTACTTGGGTACCGAAAGAATTTGTCGCAATTTAAGTAATTTTTTATATTTACAGTTATGACCGTACTCACCATGTGAAACCAAATTTTAAGGATGGTTTGTTTATCAGTGTACCAGAAAGACAATACATAAATAAGCCAAATCATTATTAGGTTGTGCACTTTCTCACTATAAATCCCTTTTTTGTCAATTGACAAATAACTTTCAATGAGCTCTGGAAGTGTGTGGTATGCGTGATATCCCAATTTTAGCAAAACTCAACTTGTGTCACCCTTTCATTGACATCTAAGTATATTTTCAATTTAAAAGAATGAGAAACTCGACCTATTTCGCATTCTGGACGTCCAAGAAATCTCCAAAACTAATATTTACTAGAAAAAGATAAAATTTGTCTTAATGTCATCTTAATTTTGGTTCAAATTTGATTCACATGATAAATCAAATTATTAAAATAATGGAAAAGAAAAGAACCATTAGTGTATATATATTATTTGTACATAAATATATATATATATATATATATATTTATCTACCTTTAAATTCACAACCTGAATGAATAAGATTCACAGAATTTATGAGCAAAAAATGATTCTCGTGGTAACTGTGATTAGTGGACATATCTGGTAAATGATATAAATTTTGATTTTCTGTTTCAAGCTCGAAACGCTTATTTTAAATGCAATACACATAACACAATAACGCTACATGGATTTTTGAAAGAGTTAATTTGGACTAATTATCTAAATAAATATATTAGCAAATGTCAAAGTTACTTATTACCTTCACACATGAGATATAACTAATCCAGGTTTGATAATAATTTTTTAAGTTAACATTAATCTCCTAACCTCAACACTTCAGAATTATTGTATTGATCCTAAAATATTTATATACATCAAATACAGAATTTTTATTTATTTTTGGGAATACATGTTACTATGAGCGGGAAAATTAATCTTTACCCCAATAGATACTTTTATTATTCTCGAAATCAACAGAAAAAAAGACAATACCATCCCGGTTGTTGTTTTGAAATGAGCTTGAAACATGAAAAAACTTTCAAATAGTTTTTGAAATCAGCAGAAAATGGAGATGTACGAAGATAATTAATGCTTTATAATATAATATGTAGTTGGTTTTTAAGGAAATATATCCTGCTCTTTGAAAAATAAACCATGAAACCTAAAAAAGTCATTGTCATTTGATTATTTTTACAAATTTGTAAAGTCAGCTTTATGTCATAGCGATACCACCATTTCAATGTACATGTATAGGTACCCCCAAAAACCTAATATAAAAGTGAATCAGAATTTAGACAATATATTTATTTAAAAATTGTAACGATAAATGAATTTTTATCTGTCACTTTAAAATCTATCGCTATCTACATGTATTTTTATTAACGTTAAGCTTATCGTTATTCATGCAATGGATGCTAGCATTGTTATAGATCTATGCCTCTTCATTCAAAATTTCCTAAATACGGTTCGTAGTACATGTATTGGCTGATTCTTGTCACATGCATTATGCATATGTTTCTTTGTTAATACATGTATATGTACATGGACACACGCAAAGAATCGATTAAAATTCCGAGGAAAGTTTCGTTTATCTGTTGTTTTCGAGATGACTTCTTCAGAATGGCTTGATGAAGCAATTGCCGGTGGTAAAATCCGTAAAATACCATACGATGACATCACTAAGATAGAAACTCTTGATGAAGGAGCATTTGCAAAAGTTTATTTGGCTAAATGTAATTTAATCTCCGAGGAGATTGTACTCAAAAAGATTCAAAAATGTCATATTAAAGAAAAAGACAGCCTTTTCGCTTTTATAAAGGAGGTGACTATTAATATTGAATTTTCTAACGAGCTAAGTTCAGCATTAACTTGTCAAATTATATTGCTGTTTAAAGCTAAAAATACATAGTAATTTGGATCAGCATGTTAATATTATTTCATTATACGGGATTAGCGAGAGTATGTAGAAATAAATTCATCGTCGTTAGGAATAAATTTACTTTGATTATTGATTAATTTTCTGTTTCAAAGAAAAAAACTCCTATTTTCTGGTAATGCAATACGCAAACAACGGGACGTTGTGTAAATTTCTGAAAGAGAAATGCGATACTTTAGACTGGGCTAAAAAGTTATCTCTAGCAAAGCAAATGGCTGATGGCATTCAATATCTTCATTCGTGCAAGATAATTCATCGTGATTTGGTAATATTTTATGTTTAAGTAAATTATTCAGTAACCTTTACGCTTATTAATGTTCTCATTTTCTCTTTTTGTGAAAAAGCATTCCAAAAATATTCTAATACATGATGGTCAAATAAAAATCTCAGATTTTAACCTTTCTAAGGACATTAACAGCTTACCCACGAACAATTCGGAAATTTTGGGCGCAACACCCTATATTGACCCTAAAATGTTTATAGACACCAAATACAAAAAAGATCAAAAGTCAGATATTTATAGTTTAGGAGTTTTATTCTGGGAAGTATCGAGTTGCCGTGCCCCTTTTGCAGGTCATAGTAATCATGTTGCCCTTATGTCTGAGATTATTAAGGGAGTACGTGAAAATCCACATGTTGATACGCCTTTAGAATACGTAAATTTATATGTGGATTGTTGGCAATTTGAGCCGCAAGCTCGGCCTTCGATCAATGAGGTTCGCAATAGATTAGAGAAAATTCTAACTGAATGAGAACCGTGATTCTAAATTACTTTCTTTGACTTATTGATTTTATTATTTTAGTTTTCATTTAATTTCATTTATAATTTTATTCGTTTCCTAAATTGAATTTCATATTATAAAATAATAAGGATATCGATATGATTTTGTTTTAGTTTGACAATACTTGTATAATAATATTATATTTTACTGGTATTTGTAATTAATATACGTGACTAACATAAAAATGTATCATTCATTTAAGAAATATTAAATGTCTGAATTCCTAAAGATAGAAAAATCATATGTGGTGAATTGTTGTTATACATACACATATGAAAGCGTGATTCCTTTTAATGTAAGAATATCGACATGTAAATTCATAATTGAAAACTCAATCACTGTAATTAAATTTTATTATATAGAAACCCTCTCTCCCGTGTTGTTAACATTTCATGTATTATTTTGACCATAAGAATCACTGTTTTAACGTTTTATGTAAAATTGTGAATTAAATAAAGGAAAAAACTATCAAAAGCGTAATGATAAAAACTTTTATATGTAATTTCACTAAAAGCAAAATACTTTATAAATTCAAAGTCACATACCAATAAAATAATCGGATTTTACAACATTTAATTGTTCGAATATTAAAATAAAAATTCAAACAATCAATAATAATATGTGTACATGTAATAATGAACACCACCATTTTTAATATACATGTATTTGCAGACTCGAATGTAAATACGTGTGTATATGTTCATGTACAGTAGCGGTCATAAGTATCCTACCGGTTGTATCACTTAAAAATACTCCTTAAAATTTCCAGGCAAAAAGTGTATGACAATGCCTGATCACACGTAAAATTTCAGCTCAAGCGGATGTCACCAGTAAATTTCCAAACATTAAATATTTTGCTTCAAAAGCATATGAAAATATATGAAAACATATCAAGATTGCATTCGTTTATTTTGAACTTAAAACTTCAAAAATTCATATCTCCACATGTTTCTAATCGATTTCCATAATCCTTTTTTTCTTTTGCTTATCAAAGCCATCTCTACATGGTTTTTGGAACATCTAGTCAAATTATGAAATGACTGTTACTATAAAAGGAAACAACTGCGCATTATAACTTTTAGAGTCATCATATTGCACACTTATTTGCATTTCGTAGTAGCGATCGCGCTATAATTTGCCCATAGATCCTAAACATAATTACAGCTGGTTCAAAGAATAAAAGAAAAAAAAAAGAATACAAAATTTTGTTAGAAAAGTGTTGAGATATGAATGTTTGAAGTTTTATGATTGGCATCGTATAGAGGATATAGTATAGTCTGATGCAAAATATCTGATGTTTGAAAAATTTGCTGGTGACATCCGCTCGAGCTGAAATTTTACGTGTGACCAGGCATTGTCATATACCTTTTACCTGGAAAATTTAAGGAGTTATTATTATGTACATTTAAGTGATACAACCGGTAGGATACTTATGACCGCTACTGTACATGTTCCATCTAAAGAAGTACATGTGTGTATATGTAGATGTAGCTTTCTTTTAATGCATGTCGTTTTTTAGCGCAGAAAAGATGCACACACATATAGAGGTTACGATTTGAAATTACATACGTAAACTGTATAACGACAATGATTATCTCTTTTCATACAAGCAATTCACGTTTAATAAAGTGAACTCAAAGATGGAATTGAATATTTATGATTATAGTAAATGTGACGATTTTCAAAAGAATAGATACTATTTAGCACGAGTAAATGTACTAAATGTTTAAGAAATGAGCTCTGCATAGGATGCTTCAAATATCACAACGAACTTATAACGATGAATTGTCTAGCGGAGATAAAGATATCGACAATCTCATAAAAGAATGCGATAAAACTAATGAATAGTATAATATATTCGAATGGATTCCTTTTGAAAGATTTACCAACATTGAATATTCATGCAAAAGGAGGTTTTGGGACAATTTATAAAGCAACTGTGACAAATGGATCATGAAGAAAATATGAACAAAGTGGAGAAATTGAAGTTGTGTTGAAATGCTTACATATTCAAAGCTTATTGCTCCAGAGCTTATACACGAAAAATGAAAGTTGCTTTTTTGTTTTCTGATACAATCAAATTTTCGCAAATTGCTCTTAAATGCAATTATGATGGTTCTATATTATTACTATTGATTATTACGGAGTCCAGTTACAAATAAATACTCAAGAGAAAAAATTCACGATGATAAGTCCGTACATCGTGACTTTCATCCTGGATACGTCATAATATATTCTCGTCCTTAAATTGCTGACTTAAGACCTAGCATTTCAAGATTATAGAAAGATCATAACCAAAAAATTTGTGGTGTACTTCCTTATATGAGTCCGAAGTTCTAAATGGAAAACCATACATTAACGCTTAGTTCTGGCCATGTACGAGGTCGCAACCATTTTAGGGAACGAAGTCATAATAAGACAAGCCTTATATTAGAAATTGGCAATGAAATACGACCCATTATATCGAATATTGTGCTCGAATGGTTCAGATTTATTAATGAAGAATTTTGGGATCCATTTCAGAAAACAGACAAACTGCTTATGAACTTGAACACTTTGTCCTATTTAATATGACAATGCAGATATGTGGGAACTGAATACTGCATTTTCAACATCACAACTTTACAGAATATCTAAAAACATACGAGGAAAGTAAATGATGTCTTAAACTAGACGGAGTAATGAGAAGTACTTGATAAGTAGATGAAAAATCGCAAATAACAAATTCATTCAAATACAGTTGAATCTTTATTACAGAATTAATAATATTTTTATTCTAATAGTTTTATACTAAGTCATGTTGACATTTTACATAATTAAAATTCATTTTGAATATCAAGACTTTATATGTTTGAAATGAAGATTTTTCAGCATGAAAGAAATAAAGCTACCAATTTTGTTATGCCACAAAAGAATAAATCCGAAGCGTAATTAGGTAAAATTAAAAAATAATTTTATTTAGTTATCTTTCCTCACAACACACATTGCCTATCCCTCTGAACCTCGAGAGCTATCCTATATGTACAGTTTTGCTATTATGCAACTATCTAAACTGCAAATCGTTTACTACACGTGTTATTAAAACACAAATTACGAATTTTTAGTAGATTTTCACAAAAGAAATATCTTTATTATAAAATAATAATGTAATAAAATTTAATGTTATTTTTATACGTAAGAAAATGACTAAATAAAAATTAATTATAATTATGCAACACATAAGGAGGGGATAACGCACAAAGAATTCTGGTAAGAATTTTAACGATAATCAAAATCTTGGGAGCGCAAAGTAAGAATTTTTTGTAAGAAATTCTTATTATTGAAAGGCAATGTTAATGTTTGATTTTACAAAGTAAAAATCAAGAATTTGCGGACAGCATAAATATTGATATTACAAGACAAGAATTTTTGTATGAATTTCGCGGGATATCGCTCAAGTGATACCGATACAAACACATAGGGATACAAGATTAATATTTTCCAGTATTTCGTAATCATGGAATTTCTCGTTGCGACAACAACTATAAAAGAATCATATATAATAAAATACTTTACAACAAGAAAGTTTTAAAATACTTGAACAAAAATAAATAATATAATATGATTGTCTAATCTTATATAAGATTATGTACAAAAATTTAGTTGATTGATTCCTAAGTGCAACTTTTCTACATGCAATTCTGAGTAATATATAGTGTCTAGACATGCAATCTAATATTTTAATTTTTAATAATTTATGAAAAATAAACATTTAAAGCTTAATTATAAAGTATTTCCTATCATAATTACATAATAGTTTTCATTCTTCAATAACACTAATGAAAAGTTTTGTGTATATATCTCTTTATTATCAATTTAAAAGATTATGCTTTTATGTTGACATATATCCTGATCGAATAATACAATTCTAATTTTCTTTTATTAAATCACAGTTATGTCTTAACACATTTCATTAGTTATTTAAAGGTCTAAATTCATAAAGTTTTATACATGATCTTAAAAGTGCATCTATATTTTTAATATTAAAATTCTATGTATTGCTAACTCTAAGTACAATTCGACAGTATCATATATAGTGGCGCTCAAAAATAATGCATCACTAGGATAAAAAACGAATCGTGGAATTTTTAGCAATATAGACGCCACAGGTAAATGAAACTTAGCCCATATATAGTTAAAAGCA